ATATGGAAAAAGAATTCAATGGTTTGGTTCTCTGGAGCTACGATGTAAATTTCTCTTTGACAGTTAACAAGAAAAAGACACTTAACATTTTGCAAAACTACATGTAAAAGTTGCTCATGGACCAAGCATTTCAACACAATATGGATTAGGCAGGTTCAGTTTTTACTTTGTGGTATTTTTCAACTGATTTGTAGTTAAATCTAAAGCGTGTACATTAGGAAGTGAAGAGCTTTCCATACAAGGTCTGCCTTGTGAGAAAAACAAGATGGTATTTTTGGAATGCCCTTGCCACTAGATGGCAGGGCACACTTTGAATAAAGGAAGCAGCGAACAGGCTGTATTCCACATTGATTTGTTCTTAGTCTAGAAAATCCCTCATTGAGCTTGTCAAAAGCTTGGTTGGAGTGAGGAGTGGCTGGAGTGTTGGATAGAACTGTAATTGTGTCATGATGCTTTGACAGCACTGGCATGCAGTTTTATCTTTTTCTGCAGTACAATAGATATCTTAATTGAATTCCTCAAAGCTCAGCTTAATAAGATAATAAGGAAAAGCTGTGCATTAACTGCAATTAAATTATGAGCCAATGTTGGTGATTTTGTTTAAAAAAAAAAAAAAAATCCTTTCCCTCTCATACACGTGCCACGCTTGCTGTGCCAAATTCTCAGCTACTCAGTCACTCCTTGAAGTAAATTGCAAAGAGCAGATTAGCTCAAGTGCTGACCTTGGAATCTGGCTTAAAATAGTTTGGATGGGCAGCTTGCTGCAGGTGTCAGATTCAGATAGCATTTATAAGAGTTAAGGTGTCTAACTTTCACTCTTTCACATCAGTTTCGTTTTACGGTAACTGTAATAAGTTCAATTGAATGGAACTTGCATAGTGGTGCTGAGAAGCAGGGTGTTTATGTTGTTCAGCTGCAGTTGTTACAGTCTTCAGAATACGAAGGTGAAAAAGTTGTGTGTTTACTGGTGCAAAATATATAGGTATGTCTGGACAAATTAGGTGTAAAACTCTTCTCTTTTCATGTGGAACATTACACATTGGCAAATGGAAATGAGCACTCTGAGATCAGGTCTATATCTTTTAAAGATCATAGAATCAAAGAGCAAGTCTAGCTCCCTCAGCGTGTAGAGTCCCTGTAGGAGAGCTGCCTATTGGCAGCTTTGTAGGAGAGCTGCACTCTCTTATTTCAAATGTCCAGCACAGTTTTAGGCTTGCCTATCCCTCTGACCTGGTGTGCTATCTTATTGCCATCTCTGCTGCAGTGTGCCAGTCTTGACACTAAGCAAGTTCTTCTCTGCTTTCTATGCTTCTTAGCAGTTTCCTGCTTACTGAGGTTGTTCTGTGTGTGCGTCTTCTATCTTCCCCTAATGTCCTCTCAAAAACTCGCTGTTAGCTTGGTACCCAGGAGTGGTGTTTTTATAGATTAAAAGATATTTTGACAACTCGCTGAAACACTGATTGAATTTCCCAGTGTGCCTTATCTACCTCTGTGTTCCTTTGATTTAAGGTGTGAGATGCCTTTATTTGAGGATACTGCAGATGTTAAACATATGGTAAAATGGAAATAAGAGTTTCCCAGTCTGTATGCGCAAATGTAGGTATTGGTGCAACAAACCACATGTGGCTTTTTTGCAGGTGCTCCCTTTTCCAGGATTCTGGGCTTCCTGCCAAAGCATTTTCTCTCAACCTCACTGTTAACCAGTCCCTTGCATTTTGCATCAGCTTCTGTCTAAATAGGCTTAGCCCTCCAGTTAATAGATATCTTTTTCTCAAGTGCTGCCCATTGCACCTGCCTTTGAAATGTGCTCTGGAGAACTCAGTGATTGGTCTGTTGTGTGCTGTTGCTGTTTGGTTAAATCATTGCTTAGTTTCAGGTGGCTGCATTTGCATGCTGGAGCACTGGATCCTCCTGTTTACTGCTTTTGTATATCTTGGATGTGTTTGTGAAGCTTGAGGGGAAGTTCAGAATGAGAAGTATAATATCAGTGTTTGGGATAACAAATGGTACAGGCCATACACTCTCTTCATTCAATGCTTTTTCTGTTTCCACATCAGTGAGCACGTTGGATGTAATGTTGTCACAGCATGCTACCAGAAATCCTGAGATCAGTAATGTAAAATAGGTCTTTGGAATTTTAATAATGGAGAAAATGTCAGTATGCAAAGTTGGTGCAGGGTTGTTCCTCCCTTCCCCCAGTTCTATTCCTTTAGATCAGTCAGTGTATTTTCTGACTTTGCGGATACAAAAAGTGGGAATGAGGCATCCTCTGGAACCATATATTGATTCCCACTCCGTTCCAGTAGGATTCACCACCCCAAAAATCAGTTGTACACAGGCATACTTGTGGACCAGAGTTTAAGGATCAGCTCCCATCTTCCCCAGGTGTGTCTGAAGAACTTGAATCCTTCAACGTTGACATGGCTTTGACATCTCCTAAGAGAGCCTGTGGCATCCAGAGATCATTGAGTTCTATCCAGACAGCTGTTTTACCCAGCTAGGTTCAAGGAGCTGTGTGTGACCAGCAGTGCTGCAATCAAACCAGCTTTAAGGTTGTTAAGTAATACCAAAGATAAGGAGCAAAGCGTTCAAGAGAGCGTGATTCGGACCCATCCTCTTGGTAGAAATGACATTATTATTGAGTTCATTGAATTAGATTGGTATTTTTCTCATAAAATATACTTGTACACTGTCAGTAGTATACCTGGTGTTTATGCAGTGGCTCCATGTGTGTAAAACAGTCCATCTTGGCAGTAGCTTTCTTGAGCATTAAACTTAGCCAAGCCTTTTTTCCAGTAGTCTCTATGTATATCTTGATACGGAGAACATGTTGAGATATTCTTACGCAAGAAATGATTAGAAGCTCTCACTGCAATAGGCACAGTGGTGTGGTTCATTCCACATTACTGAAACACCTCTCTAGCTCAGGCTATCAGCCTCTCTAAGTGAAATTAAGTGAACAGTTATCCAGGGTTCCACTGAACCCAATAACTGAGGAATATTCTCAGTAACAAGTCATGACAAAATTGAGTTCAGTACCAAGAAAATTGCTACTCATTTTCCTACTGAATTGTTTATTTGTTTTCATTTGGTTACCAGAAGAAATGACAAAAAAAAAAAAAAAAAAAAAAAAACCAAAACCATTAAAAGCCAGAATCCAGAAAGAGATTGTGCTAACTAGTTGTTGAGAGGTTATTTATTTGCAGCTAAAGGTACTGGAGCAATCTGTGTGTGAATTTCTGTCTCTAGGATTTACAGAAGCTCTTGTACAAGGCAGATGAAGTTGCCAGAAGTGGGGCCTTTCTTTGATAGTTCTACTCTAAACGAGGGCAAAGTGGATAAGACCCATTTCTCGGATCTTTTTAATTGCTTTTTAGATCCCAGCAATTCTTGTTTTTAATTCCAGAACATTACAATGCTCAAAAAGCTTAGTTTTGCTTTTTGAACAGGTAGTGAATTTGCTGCTATCTTGCCTATTTGAAGATGCTCATGTGCAGTATAAAAAATCCACTTTCTTCCCCCAGACACGTTCTTGCACGGTACAAAACCACAAATGTTGTATTAAGTGCTGTTCTTTTTCTTCCTTGGATCTCATGTGTTATTTTATGTGCAACCTGGCTACGTTTCTTTGTGAATGTGACTATACACCGAGAAGTGATAGAGTAGTGGACAGTGGTCAATTTATTTTAGTTGCAGACCTGCAAGGTGGCCAGTTTACATATTGGTTCTTAGCATAGCTTCTCAGCTGCTTATGCCTAATATACAGCCCTTAATCCTTTCTGCATGTCATCCCTTGAAGCAAATGATAGAGACACAGATTAGGAGATAGCAACAAACAGGAGATTTTGTCTGTTGATTGCATGTGCAAATAGCTAATCTTCAGTGCAATGTTCTTTAACCCCAGAACAGTTATGGACTCCTGAGAATTCGTTCTTACTGAAACTCCCCAGCAAAATCAGATTTTCTATTTTTCATAGGGGAAAAAAGTGCTGCAGGTTTACTTTGGTCATGTGTGTTTGTATTGGCAGAACACAAGCTTCCGTAAACACACGTGTGTAAATGAAAAGTGAATGTAGATAAGCAAAGTTGAAAGGCAGTAAAATGAGTACTGTCAGCTGAGGGCAGCCGCAAAAGCAGCTCCCAGTCTGCCCTCCTCAGCAGACTTTCTACAGCCTAAAGCAGGATAAACGGGCCATTTGCTGTGCTCCAAACCTGGGAGTCAGAAATCCCCATAAGAAGCTGCTGTGGCACTTTAACGACAGGATTTCTTGAGTTACGTAAAGTGGGAAAGCAAGGTGATGAAACCGAAACAACAAATAAATACTATGTTTCATGCACCCTTTCAGTGCCTTGCCAAAACCAAAATGTATCTCCCCAGAAGTCAGCTGACTTTTATCGGCTTTGCAAAATGATGAATGAATGCCTTGGCTCTTTATTATTGCTTAAGTCATTCCTGTTTATGCCAGTATTTCAAGGATTATGTTTTGATTGTTCTGAAGAGGTGAAAACACTTTCTTGCTGATGAATAAACACTGACACTTTTAAATATTTGTATGCAAAATGTCTTTAAAGCCATTATGAAATGCTTACCAAAAGCACTAAGAAGCTGTTTCCCGAAAAGACGGTTTTTCTCTCCATTTTCTTTCATGCTAAACAGTCCAAATGAAAAGCCTTTCAGAGTTAACTAGTTTAAGCAATACCAGTGTTTTAGTGTAATGAATAACTTTTTTATAGAGGACAATTGCACACAGTTCAATATGCTAGTATTTCTATTTCTGTGCCTCACCAATGCCAGGACTCTCGGGTAGAATTTCTTTCTTTGAGAAAGCTGAGGCGATCAAAACCCTGATTAACCTCTGATATTCACGTGGTGCTCTTGATCTTGAGGACCGAAGCAGTAACAAAGAGTTAATGGCAGCCATATGCTCAGGGTATTGTGGGTACTGTTGACCCAAATGTGAACTCAGCCAGCTAGTGCTGCTAACTGCTGTTTGTTTCAGGTTTGGCGTGGAGATTACTGATGAAGAGTTTGAGCTGCTACTTGACAGAATCCCCCTTGATGAAGATGGAAGTGTCACATACCCCCAGTTCATGGCCAGGTTTGATTCCTGGTATGCAGCGTATGCATTTTATTTCTCATTTGTGTGTAGAATTATTTTTAATCTAAGAGGCTCCCCTAACATTTGCAAACTGATCCTCATTTCTTAAGTATGCTTCTTTATGGCATATTTCTTGCATGGAGAATGCTGATTGCATTTAAAATTAGCTGATGTTATGGGAATGTATTGTTTATAATCTAGTTTGTCTTTAAACGCTAGTTATGTGTTTTGGAGGACTTTAGAGTCATGTAATGTATCCTCATGCTTTCTGTAGGCTGGGAAATATGACAGACTTCTAAGTAAAAGCTAATTGCTTCCCAAAAAAATCAATACATGTACTTGATGCAGTTCTAAGAACTTGAAGCATTTATAGACCCTATATATAATCTGAAGTTGTTTTGAAATGGTGATATTGCTTAACAGAAGCTCTATTCAGACTCTAAGGCCTAGTTACACACATGAGAGTTTGATTAAAATAAAGAAACAATGGGCTAAATACAGATACTTTATCATTTTCCAAAAATGAAGACTCTGTTCCCCAAACAGCTGTGCTAATGGCAGAGTAGATGCCAGTGACATTGCTGAGGTGAATGCAAGTCTCTTGTAGAATCTGGGACTGGAGAAATACATCCCACCCACTTACATGCATACATAGATTTTAGACTGCTTAAAGGCAATGCAAATGTTTCTGAGTTATGTAGCAGGCAAGAGCATATCTTCTGTATAGTCTGCATACATGCATGAAGGACAGGTAGAAGTCTGAGTTCACTGTACTGAAATGACATTAGGTAGTTCCTGCACTTCAGGTAAAACTGCACATTGCAAAGCTGATAAAAGTGCTTCTGTCTTCCAGTTCCACTAACTGCTTTTCTGCTCTTTCTCTCTCACTGTCCTCATCATCCTGCTTCAGGAAGTATTGAGGTTAAATTCATTTGTCCACATGTTTTAACACAGAGCTGTCAAATAGGATACAGGATTCATGAGATGCATATGTCCTTCTGGAATGATATCCTTGAAGTAATCTCTGAGAGTCTCTCAAATTACACTTGAATGTCCTTGGGTGGCCTCCTGTTTTTCTCATACTTTTACTGCCAAGGCCTCCTCTCCAGTTCTTTCTTTTATAGTCTTCTGAATGGGTTGCAGCTACCCTGGATTTGGTTGTGCTTGAATTTCTGTGAAGTGTTTCAGCTCCGGGAATATAGCCTGTTGTGTCCTCTTGTGTTGAGGATGTAAATAGATAGCAGAGGATAAACATCCTCTGGCAAAACTACGAAATTTTGAGAAATCAAAAGCTTCAGAAATAAGATACAGAGAGGCACAACACTGGACCTTCTTCCTCTCCCTGTGCACTCTGCTGTTGCAACTCTTTTTCTGAGCTTTGTGCTTTTTTTCTCACGCACAGATTGCTTCAGCTGTCATGTCCAAGTAAATTCTGAAGTCAAGAGAAGCCAACGTCCCTAAAAGAAGCAACATTCATCTTAGTAAGTGTATTCACTTCATGCATCAGATTGGAGACCACATTTATTTCAGTTTTTAATAACTATTTTCTTGTATTTACTTAAAGTAACGCATTTTCACCACAAAGGAGCTGCATTAGCACAAGGTGTTCCGCTGGCTGTCACTTGCCTTGGAGCGCATCTGCAAGAACACACACAGCTATTTATAGCCCTTCAAGAGGCCTATGACTGAACCCACGTTTCAATAGTAAGAAGCTGTGCTATGTAGTACTGACCAGTAGTTAACATGCAAGGTTGTATCCAGTATGCTTTTCAACCAGGGGCAAATGATGTTGTGACCATTAGAGATGTGAGAATCCTAATTTATACTAACCTAACTCTGCCAGCTTCAAGCCCTTTGCAGTGCTGGCTGAGTTGGGAACACGCTGTATAACATCTACCAGAGAACTGTAGACAATATCCAGAACTTTGCTGCTGAATTAATTAAACCACTTGATCCTTCTACATTAAACAGTGAAGGAAGGAATGTGCAGTAACTGGAAGTTCAAAGCTGCCTGTTATAAATGGGAGCGTGCTAGGCAGAGACCTTGGATGCATAGCTTACATTTGCAATGGAAAGTGCAGAAAAAGCTCATAGGGTTATGAAAGCTTTTTCCCCTGGATGTGCCCAGCCTGGTATCTTCCAGAGAAAATGATGGGACCTGAGAAGCTGAGCTACCATCTGTTGCCATCTCTTGCCATATCTCATACAAAGATCTCTGCTTTTCAGAATCTCTGTAAATCTGAATGATTGACTACAGATTTTAAGTTTTGTACTAGTCAAGTCTCATATGAATCCCATACTATCAGATGCCACCAAAAATAGCATTTGGTTAAATATAACCAGAAACTGCTAGCCTCTATACCAGAAGACTCTCAGGCATAGAAACGTTGTCAGGCCCAAAGGTGGATTGTATAGAAGAAAAAGAGAATGAGTATTGTAAGGAGAAGTGGTCTTGGTTGCAGCTAGAAGAACAGTTAGGTTAGAAACCCAGAATAAGATGGGACAGGGGGTCTAGAAGTACTGTGGCTTTTGTTACGGTAGAGGGAATAACACCTGATCATGCAGTGATTAAGTGCTTTCTCTGCAGTCAGTTTTTGAACTTAATCAGTCCCATTTCCAAGTCACCTTTCAGAATGCACTCAATCTAGCAATTTCAAAGATTATTAGCATGCCTGCACTTGTTGCTTAGAAATAATTAGTTTATACAGAAATCATTGTACTTTCGATGGCACAATTCTGTATTTGAACATGATCCAAACAAATAATTATATATGTTCATTGGCAATATTGTTGCTCAAGTTGAGTGGGAGAGAGTACATAAGCCCCACAGCATAGCTTAGGTAACAGCTCTTTATTTGTTTCACATCGAGAACTGGGGACCAGATCATTTTCTCAGATTGCTTTGATGTTAGTATGGGGTAACTTAATTTACTCCAGTGCAAAACTAGAGTGTGACTGGGATCAGAATGTAAGACTGAGGCATAGTAACTTTTACTTTCATCACCTACCCCCAGTGTCTTTCCTCTTATTAAAACAAATGTTTCTTGCAGCTTTAGTCTCAGTTTCTGTACTGTATGTAGTGGGCTGGCCTCAGCCAGCAGCCAGACTCCTGGCCAGCTGCTCATTAAATGACAGTGAAGATGTTTTATTTATTAAAATAACATCTTAATTGGAAATTTGGTTTTCTGTAACTTATATATATTATTTATCTTCAAATAAAGTGTCATTTTGGTTGGAAAGTAACACTGTTAAAGAACTAAATTTGGTTAAAAAATGGCTGTGTATTGACTTCCCCTTTCACACAGTCAACTATTTCTTCCTCCCTTGTTATCCACTCAGGTAGGCCTACTACAAACCATAAAGATAGAGAGTGAGCTGTAGGAGACTCAGCATGTTCCCAATATCATAGATATTAACAGAAGAGCTTAAAGATTTGCCCTGAGCGGAAGAAAAAGTTTCTGAGTCTAAAGGAATATAACCAGTGAGGATAATGTGGAAACCTTTGCCCACAGTCATAGATGGGAAATACAGAATTTAGTGTAAGAATAGAAAAATGTATCTTCTTTCTCTATAATTACATTTTATGCTAGTGGTGATGATAAGTGGATTAATAAAGACAGGAGTTATTCAGAATCTGCTATGGGTGCATTAGACTTGAGACAAATTGTAAAAGAAAAAGTAATATTATATATATCACCTTTGAAAGATTAGAGAAGGATTATGCAGTCAAAGTTGGTTTGTTTCCTCCTACTGTTTAGTTGCTCTAATCCAAGATATCTGTAGACCATATCACTGTTACCCAAATGCTGTAATATGTGCAGATTTGATGCTCATGCTGCCCACTGCAGACTTAATTAGCCACATGCATTGGTGTCTACTGCTCATATACCCCAAGAGAAGGATCTGCCCTAGAAATCAAGTACATCAGTAGCTTGGCTCTTGCTACCCATTATCCAGATATTTACTGTAGTGGCATGCACAAGATAGAAGGGAGATGTAACAGCAGAATCAAGGCATCATTCTTTTCTCTCATAGTGTGTTCACAGAAGTAGGATAAGGTTTGAGAAGTGTTCAGCGTTAACTCTAATGACAGTGAAAACAGTGGTTAAACCCCCTCCCAAATGTTATCTTTTCAAACTGAGCGGCTAAATAAGAAATTATTTTGAAAGTCCTAAGTAATTTGCTCTGGCAGTTTTTTGGTGGTGTTTGTGTTTGGTTGGTTGGTTTTGTTTTTAATTCACATACTGTATTAGAGTGCTAAAATATTGTGTGAGCTATTCGTGGATGATCGCTTCATTAGTCACTCTGACATAAGTCACACTGGTGAAAAGCACGAGTCAGATAAGTGCAGAGTGGTTATTTTGCCTTGCAGATGAGCTTTTTAAAGGCTGCCTGTTTTTTGATGTTCCATTGGTAGCTACAGCCTATGCCAGGTTTCAGAGACTGTGACCAAAGGCAGAGTGACAAAGATGAAGGATGAATGTCAACCTTAAGTGTTGTATTTGAGGAGCTAAGGTGAGAGGTCAGTTACAAGGTAAGACTTAGTCATGTCCTTCCAAAACCTCACATGCCCTTGAACTTCCCACCCTCTAAAAATAACCCTCTTTCCCCCACTGTCATCCTAAATTCTAAGCAAATGTAGGAGGTGAGTGTTCTGATTGTCAGACATCCTCTCATACACAGGCTTCTCTTCCCTGCCTGGCAGTCAGGCACAGCCCTCTGCTGCAATGCCCTTTGGGTTGTTTTTGATTCTGCACTCTCAGCCAAGCCCATGGGTCAGCCAACTTTAGTACAGCTTCGTTTTCATTAGTTTTCTAGCTTCCTTCCCTAATTGGCTTCCAACAGGTTTGGAAAAATAAATACTGCAATCACAGTGTTAAGTTGGAAAGGGAAGAAATTGG